CCCAGTGTGGGGCAGCTCTGCAGAGCAGGACCCAGGTGCTCTGGGAGAGCCCGGTGGCTGCACGTGTGACAGGGTGAGGGTCAGGGCAGGGGATATTCCCATCTGGACTCTGCTCTGCAAACAGGACCCGTTTGGGACTGGCAGGGAAAATGATATTGGGTTGTCTGGTTGTGGCAACTGCCACAGCTGAGCAACTCCTGAGCCTCAGCCCTGTGTGCAGCTGATGATCATTGCCCAGTGCTCCCCAGGGTCTCCAGGGACAGGAGATCTCAGTGACCTGGCTGATCCCATTGCCCAGGAACCCATTGTTCTCACATGCCAGGTTTGGGGCTGGGCTCAGCTCTGGGGTGTCCCACAGGGAAAGCTCTGGGAAGGGAGGGGCACAGGGAGCTGGGGGGATCTGGCTGTGGGGGCTGCTGGAGGATGGATTGTGTTGGAGTGGGGCTCGTCCCCACAGGGTCCCCGGCTGCCTTTGGCTCCCTGCCTGCCCCCCTTGACCCCCACAGGTGCCCGGGCCCTCGCAGGGGCTTTGGCCCCGAGCAGGAAGCTGGACGGATGCCGGGCAAGGGGCTGGGTCAGTGCCGCAGGTGGGATGGACTCTGTGCCAGGGCCGGGCTTGTGGCCAGGGCTGGGGGCTGTGCCCAGCCGGGCTTTGGCCTGGGGGCTGTCAGGGAGGGGGCAGGGAGGAGTCCCGGCAGGGATAAAGGTGCTCCTGCCCTGCTGCAGCCTCAGGCAGCGCTGCCCAGGGCCAGAGGAAGATGAAGGTGGCTGTGCTCAGCGTGGCCCTGCTCCTCTCCATCCTGCTGTGCCCCCCGGCTCAGGCCAAGGTGAGGTCTYGGTGCCACGGTGTCCCCAYGTCCTGCCCTTYGGAGGTGCCCATCCCACCCTTTTGGTCCCTCATATGTTCCCTCTCTGGGATCTCCTGTTTGTCCTATCCAGGGTCCCCAAACTTCCTCCCACTGATCATTCCCAAGGCCTTTCCTTCCATCTCCCCTCTCAGTCCTTTGCCTTTCTCCCTGGCCATGGCAGCGCTGTCTCCTGATACCCTTCCTGGACTCACCCCCCACTGCCAAACCATCTCCCAGTCCAGTGTCTTTTATCCCCACGCCTCCTCTTTCTTCTGTCCCCCCCAAGCCCCTCTCTTGCACTCCCGTGTCCCTGCACTGGAATTCCTTTCTCCTYCCTKCATCCCACACAGGGCCCCTTCCACACCCCGAGCAGTGTCCATTGGGCTCCCCAGGTCACCCCAGTTCCRTGTCTTKGGGTCTCCCCAAGTCACCCCAAGCTCCTTGGAGGCCCTGAATTCCCATCCCTTTGCCTCCATCCCCACCCTGCTCCCTGCTCCCTGTGTGTCCCCCCACAGCCCCACAAAGTCCAGTCCAGACCAATCCTTTGTTTTCCTTTCCCAGGCACTCCTGGAAGGAACTCAAAATGATCTGCGGGAGGTGAGTGGGGTGCTGCCATTGGAGGGCATCCCCTCTGGGAATTGGGGTGGCAGTTTGGTCCCCCCATCCCTTGCTGGCACCGGGGACATCCCAGTGACCGGCGACGTCTCCTGCTCTCTCTGCAGATTGATGTAGACGACGTTGCCATCCTGAACACGCCTCTGGTGGGTACCAGGAGCTCTGCCGGCCACAGACCCTCCCCATCACGGCCACCACACTCCAGGCCATCCCAGTCTGCCCCAGCACAGCCCAGTGCACCCCCTCTTACACCCCAGACAACAGCCCTGCACTCCAGCCTTTTTCCTGGGAATCCCTTTCCCCAGGGCCCCCCCTGCATTCCCGTCCCTGTCCCCCCAGGGCCCCCCAGGATGGCTCAGGACACAGCTCCTGGCTCAGCTGTGCCTCTTGGCCGGGACCCCACTGCTCCTGGCCAGGAGCACAGCAGCTCCTGCACCCCATTGCTCCCGTCAGGCCCCTTCCCCCAGGACCCCCTCGCTTTCCCCTTTCCTCTCAGTGCAGCCCAGTGCCCCCCAGTGTGTCTCTAACGCTGTCCTTGTCCCCAGCCCCCTGTGGCTGAAAAGCTGGCAGGCCTTTTGCGGCAGAAGCGCCTGGCTGCCTCTCTGGATGTCTAGGTGAGTGGGGCCTGCAGAGAGCCGTGGACACGAGGGTCCTCTCCTGTCCCTCTGCACACACAAAGCCACTTTGTGCCTTCTCTGTTTTAGGATTTAAAAACTGTGGGGACATCCATGTCCTGTCCCCCTCCAGTGGCATGAGGAGATGATCATCCCTGGAGGATGCCCCTGATCCCCTTTGAGCCCTGGGCCATTTCCTCTGAATAATCAATAAATGCCTTCAGCAAAGTTCTGGTTTATGTCTGTGTGTCTCTGTTCGTGTGTTTGTCTCTGTGTCTGGTTTTCTGTTCTCATGATGGTTGGGGAACTCAGGCCAGGGTCTGGTTGCTTCMTGCAGGGCTCTGCCACCTCCACAAAACTCCCTTCCCATCCAGGTTGTTTGGTGCAGGTTGTGTGGGTCCCATTCTGAGTGGTTGAGTGGGTGTGCAGGCAGAGCAAAGAGCAGATGCTGGCTGCGATCCTGACACTGGTGGTGTGGGTCCAAAAGAAAAAAGAGATTTACAAATTTTTTTTTTCCATACCAAGCCTTTTTTCTAACAATCACAAAAGTAGACTTATTTTTCAAAATTAAGTTTATTTTTGTCAAAAATATTTTGAAATCTGCTTCCCTGATTGGAAGGGACTTCAAGGTCTACCCAGCCCCAGCTCCAGGATGCTCTGGGGCTGTGGGATTTCCTTGGGTCCGGGGTGGAAGGAGGATGTCAGGTGTCCCCAGCTGCAGGTGGTTCCTGGGCATCCAGGTCTGCCTTGCTATGGGGCAGCGCTCAGCGGACAGGTCC